GGCTGGGGGGGGGGTCAAGCTGCACCTCGTTCAGAGCCTGGTCGAGCGTGCCGATGTCGTCCACGCGCACCGAGTGGTGCGCGTGGAGGAACCAGGTGAGCCGCTGCACCACATGCGGCCCTCCGATCGCGTTGGTCATCTTCACGAGCGCAGTCGCGATCGCGGCTCCCCCGTCCGCGGACACCGCCTCCGCGAGCGCCTTCCACGCCACCTTGTCCACGAACGCCAGGGCCTCCCACTCCGCCTTGTCTCCGTCGGACAGCGCGGCGGCGGCGAGCTTGAGCAGGCCCTCGCGCACGCGCCTCGGCAGCGGCGAGTCTGCGGGCAGGCGAGATCAGGATGAGGTGAGAGTGCGGGGGTCGGTGCGGAGAGAGGGGCAGCGTGGCGGCGGGGTGGCGGGGTGGCGGGGTGGCAGGGTGGCGGTCGGTGGTGGTGGTGGTGGTGGTGGGGTGGGGCGGGCGGGCGCGCGACGGGGGAGGGCTCACCCAGCGAGAAGCCGTTGGTCTGCTCGAACGCGGTGTTCTCGGCGAGGTAGGCGCGCGGCTTCTCGCACCCCTTGCGGCCTGCGCGCGTGTGCAGCGGACGGGTCTCGCTGCGCGCGGTCCACGGCGGGCGGGCGGGGAGGGATGAGGGGAGATGAGGGGAGCTTGTTGCACCGGGCGCGTAGTCGAGCAGCAGCTTGTCGAGCGCCTGGACGGCCGCCGTGTACTGCTGGTAGGAGCGGGTGGTGGTGTCGCAAAGGCGGCTCAGCACGACCATCGACAGGGCCGAGACAAACCAATTGGCACACTGCTCAACGAGCAGCGAGGCGACGTACTCGAGCGGCATGGTGGCGGCGTGCGGCGCGCTTTGCGCGACGGCGGCGTGGAGCAGCGCGTCGCGCACGAGCAGCTGGAGGGCGGGGACGCTGGCGTCGTCGGAGGAGGACGCGCCGAGTGAGGAGCTCGCCGGCTGCACCGCGAGCAGCGCCTCGGAGGCGAGGCGCGACTCAAAGTCGGAGAAGTAGCCGCCGAGCAGGTCGACGATGGTGGAGGTGTAGCGCTCGCCGCTGCGCAAGTGCTTCAGGGCCAATTTCTTGGCAGGGCTCGGGCGGCGCAGGCGGGTCTCCATCCACGACCCCTTCTGCCGGCGCACGATCGCGAGCACCTGCTCGCACTTGCGCGGGTCGGCGAGCGCGAGCACCTTTGCGGTCGGGGGGTCGTCGTCGAAGTCCTCGTCCTCGCTGGCGGAGGTATCCTGT